GGGATTTACACTGCTTTACCACCTTCATATTTTCCAGAGGAACAAAAATGGAAGAATAAAACACTTCTGCCTGGCATCTATTGCTTACAGTCTTTCAAATAATTAAGTCGACAGGTTGAAGGGTGTTATATAAAAAAAAAGTGCAAGGTGACAGTGATTGCTCTAATGTTTGACACATAAAAAAATAATCACCAAACCTTTTTGGACAGAAAAAGCACACTACTGGCACAGCCCACACATATCATTTATTCTTGCAATGAAGTTCAAGTTACTTTGGAAGTGTTATCTAGCAAAGCTGAAGTCTAAAGATCATTTTGATACAGGGAAAGATCCTGAAACTGCATTCAGCAATACCTGAAACCATAGCCAAGAAAAGGCTATGGAGTAACACAGGCAATATTTTCAGTGACTACAAATACTGATAAACTTATTTTTTCTGTCAAGTTACCTAAATCTGGAACACTGCACAACAGCCACCTCAAGCTGTGGGTCTGGGCACCTTTTTACCAACAATTCAAGAACAACAATTGCCAAAGAAACGTGAACTGATGGCAGGAGAGTCTTTGGTTGTAGAGTCTGATGGTTGGAGAGTCTTTTTGTTTCTCCTGTACTCGTGTTTGTAGTTTCTTGCTAAAGTGTAGGGAGTTGTGTTTCACTTAAAGCTCCAGACTGCACAGCAGTCCAAGGGCTCCAAGGCTCTGATCCAGAAACTTGTGGTGGTTTGAAACTTCCTTAGAAGCAGTTTAGAAAAAAGTAACCAAATGAAAAATGGTCACGTGCATTTCTTCATGACTGAAGAATACACTTTGCTGCTGCAACACAGTGAATACTAATCATCACTACTGCACCAGAGTCCTCCCAGGGACACCTTGTATCCAAGTCTCCAGGCCATTTCCATGGTCCTGCTGTGTGGCACAGGCAGCTGGCTGGTTTTCTGCCACAGCCACATGGTCGTGATTAGTGAGCTGCTCTTCTTCCCAGACAAGACACCTACAATGATCATTTAAAGACATTACCAAGTCTTGGAGTGCAGAAAGTCTGGAAGTCAAAAGGAAGCCACTACAGAATTTTTGTCCCGTTTCTGCACAGGGAACATACCTGCAGGGACTGGGAAGGAGTTACCTGTGTATGTTAGAAAATGCAACAGTGACTTGATCAAGAAGCACAGTGTCTACAGGACAGAAGATGAGCTTTACAAACATTCAGTAGAGCAGTGAAACAGACAACCTGAAGTTGAGCCTTATCCCAGGAGGACCAGCCAGGAGAGCTCACCAGAGCCAAGTGCTGGCAGCTTCAGGTCAGCCCTTGTGAAAAAATCCCAGAGCAGGTTTCCCAACATCTCCACTTCTCATGCAGTCCATCTGCAACATTTCAAGAGTTACCTTGAATCTTTTATCCTTTTTCTGAAGTCCAGAACTAAGCTGAGGGAAGCAGAAGGCCATCTAGCCCACTTTAATCACAAAAAGAATGCAAACAAACACACAATGGCAAAAGGTCACTGAGTACAACCCAACCCTGCACTATATTAGTGATGTTTGTGTATCTCTTCTGAGTTTCTGCACCACTCAACTTGATGTTAACAAAGGCTGTTACAACACAACTGGTTAACACACACTTGAATCACAGGTTTCCATTCCAAAATGCTGACTGCAGGAGCCCATTTTTCCTCTGCCACCATCCAGTGTTTCAGGTACTCAGGAACCAGAACCTGTTTTACACGTTTGGTATCTGTCCTAAACATTCCACTACTGACCATTCAACTGTGCTTTCTTCTCTCTTTTCCATAACAAGTTTACAATGTCAGTTTTGTTTCTAGCAGACTGAACACTGGAATTCTTTCTCAAGCCAATTTGCTTTTCCAGCTGCCTCGAGTTCTAAGCCATTATTGTTTTCCAGAAGTATTTAGGCACAAAAGTGTGTGTATAGCAAGTTTACATGTAGTATTTATGAAACCACTTTTAATAGGACATACACCAAATGGGAGTAACACAAGTGCTTCTACAGGTTATTCTGTCAACTCTAATAAGAAGAAGCCAACCATCATTTCCCAGGGCTATTCACCTTCTGCATCTCATGTCAAGTGACAATCATGTTGCTGCTGGCTCTGCAGTCCCACCTGAGAAGAACAAGCACAGAAGCTCTGAGGGGGGAAGCAGTCTTAGTTCATCCAGTTCCAGGTTCTTCTTCCCAGTGGCCTGAAAGGCAATCTCAGCTTCACAGGGGAAATTCCACAGGCTCTCAACACACAGCACCCCAGGGTCCTTTCCAGCAATGAGAAAAGATTGTACCTTTCAGCCTCTGCATCTGCCCTGCCCTTGCATCACCTTCCTGGACACATGTAGACATACCTGATGGCTGTAATTTTGCTGGACTACCAGTGTTTTATGTTAAGTCATGTCAAAAGATGACACAAGATCTTCAGCTTCTTGCTGCTATCTCACATCAGGTGACAGAAACTGGTGTTTAGTCAAGCAGTGCTTTCAGCAGAGAACCCTTAAGCCTCCAAAACAAAAGAAATACCCTGGGTTACTCTGCTCAACTACAGTCCACATCCAACAATATTTATAAACCTGAGGTCTATGTCACACAGCAAAAAAACCCAAGCAGAAGATAACCACAGCTCCAAATCTCAGGTTGTTAATACAGTAGAACACATCTTCAGTAGGAACCGTCACTTATTAAGAAAAGAAAATTTTCCTTCTTTATTTGTTTTAAATGCTTTGCATTGATAACATCAACATTTCATCTCATCATAATTCAAGAAGTCAAAACTCAGCAGTCAGAAACCAAGGTGAATAGTGACAACCCACTCCCCATTTGCAGTGTAAACATGGTACAATAAGGAAGTGAAACTTCTGCTCTAAGGAGATCCAGTCTCAAACAAACACTGGAATTGTGCTCCAGGTATTAAACTCTGTTCCTACTCATTCATCTTCCCTTTGATGCCCTGAGTAAGGTGCACATGTGGCTTCCTTCTCACTTAAATCTTTTACAATCAGAAGGAAGAAACCAGTGAAAACATATTGTAGAGAAATGTTAAGACCAAGAGGAAAGAAAAACATTAAAGGACATTTGTCAAGTTTGTCCTAGAGAGCCCTCAACTACAAAGAAAACATGTCTAAATCAACACCATTCTCCTTTTCTTACCTGTCTTACAATTTCAAGAACAATTCCATGAGGAAAACAAACCAGTTTTTTAAAGGCCTAGCTTCAGATCTAAAGATTTATCATGTTAAATTTGTTTGCTAAGTATAATTCACTGTTTACACAGCAGTAAAAATACCTTCCTTGATATCAAGCCCGTATGTACACTTGTTTAAATTCCCTTTATGAGTCAGCGGAAAAAAGGCTACTGAAACACACACTATTTTCCAATTAAACAGGTAATGCAGTTACAACCAGCTCAAGGCTTCTCAAGCAGTCTGGATATTCAGCCATGACTCATTCTGATTTATTTTTTTTTCCCCTTAAGAGAAGGCATCTCCCCTGATTTTTTACTGTGTCAAGAATTAAAACTTGGATTCAAGGTCACAAAAATTAAATATATTACCCAATACAGTGAGGACACTCAATTCAATCTAAACTACCTGAAAACCAGCAATTATCAAATATTTCTAAGACCTAAGGTAAGGAAAGAAGACAAATAATCACTAGAGACATGGGTATGAATACTCAAGACAGAAGACTAAGCACTTGGTAGTCACCTTCTCAGATTAAGTGTAACTATTGCTGTTCATTTTGCATGTGAATTTAGGCTCAACTACAAAACAATGTGACCTCTTCGATGAAGCCTGTAGGGTAAACTCTTCCAAACTGCCACCAATGCACTGCACCTAGAGAGACACTTCAGTGAAAAAGTGCTTCCACAGTGTAATGAACTACTGAACATTAACAGGATGACAGAGGTAAACTTGTCCTTTCTGAATGAGCTACACAGAGAAACTGAGAAAACAGTAACAGAGTGAGCAGGATTAGGTCAAGTCTTTCTAACAAGAGGAGCAGACACAATTCAGAGGGACCTTTTTAAAATTGTCTTGCAGAATCTAACGGTGTTATCCTGTTCACACTTCCCCATGTACAGTTCAAGAGCACTTGGAAGCAAAAAGCAGCCCTAGCAGAGGAACTTCAGGAATGCAAGATGAAAGCAAAAGCAACGCAGGTGCTAACTGGAGCTGACCCCAAGCCATTTCTTTTAAGGCACCATATCTGAGCTTTTCAACTTCAGTAAGAATAGTTTCTAAAATTCATATTAAGGCACCTTTATCACAGAAGCACTCTCAACAAAGCTTAGGTAGGCACTCTGTAAGTAATTGAAGCTCTTTTTACCACTGAACTGTCATGTAGGTCTTACTTTGCCACAGACACACCAGAAATTATTAGAGTGCTGATCGATCAAATGTTTGAACTGGTGATCCAGTTGCAGGATGATGCAGTGTCACATTCACAGTCAGTGTTCACATACAACATGGCAAAAATAGTCCAAGTTTAACTGAACCCCAATAACAAATCTCCCGTCTCCCCTCAAAATGCACAGATAACATATTTGGTTTGTTTTGACTCCATTTGCACCAAAACTACGTATTAAATGCAGCAGAAGCTTACAGCCTTAACTTGGCTGGGAGAACTGAACTAAAGAAACTACCCAAGGTGGAAGCAGACAACAGGGAAGCAGCAAAACGTCATCCTAGCAAGTAACTTGCCTCTAGCAAAAGGTCTTCTGGTTCTGTGCAAGTGGTTCCCACTGCACCAGTCCCATGTGCTTGCACTGCAAGCACCACACAGTCTGTACACTGAACAAGAACCAGGAACTGGATGCACAAGTATTAATTGGAGATTTCTTTTAATACGTTAAAACACCTACTGTCGTGAGGCTGCCAACACCTTTATCATTCTTTGGTCATTTAACCCAATGTACATACTTCAACAGACACAAAGATCTATATATATGTACATGCGCATACATATATATAGGAGGTAGTGATGTCACAGGTGTAACTTGCCTGGGTGAGAAATGAAAGGAACAGAACCAAAGGGATCTTCAGGAGGATTTTTCTGTGGAGCAGAATGTGGCTCCACGTTCTTATCTGAAGATGCTCTCCTGTCCACCAGCCTGTCTGTAAAAAAACAAAATGAAACAGAACAAAAAATAAAATAAAAATAGCAGGTCTCATGCCTATGCAAAGGTATCTACTGTACAGGGTGAGGGAGGCACAGACTGGTAACTGGGTGCTTTTGGATGTTTTAAAGATACTGGACATCTTGAATTCATACTTTTTGATCATTCAGAAACGTTCACCTGCACCAGCTTACTGTGAATCCCCCTGTCCCACCAAGAGCAGCACATACTTGGTGATACAATGTTTAATCTCTCTTTACATGTTATAGATGCAGCCCAAGGGCTCTGCAATAGAAACTGCTGCTCCTTTGAGCTCTCCAGGTTTTGAAGTCAGAACCACTGTGCTTATCTACAACAAAGTCATTTACCCAAGTTTTGGCCAGCCTTTGCCACAAGAAGAGACAAGTTGACAATCACAACAAAATAGCCAGGAGTACTTTTTATTAAACATGTAACATCTGTTGGAAATTAAACACAATCCAAGTGTCACATAATATGGAGAAATGTCATGTTTGCTCTTTATAGTCTCCAACATTTAACATTTTTCTTTAGCTTTTCTTCTTAAAAGTCGTATAAAAGGTTTCAAACAGTCCAAAACCTGAAGTACTAAGAATGGTAGATGCAAAGTTTTTTCTGTCTAAGCTCTTATTCTACCATTGCTGCCAAGTCAAGATCCAAGCCTGTCCAGCCCAACCACCACACTGCAGCTCAGGAGCGTCCAGCAAGGGCCAGCAGCCCCTGACCCATATGTGCCAAGCTGGAACACCTGCAGGAACATGCTGCAGCCTCCAGGCAGAAGACACAGCATTTTGCTGTCCCCCTTTTTCGCAGCAAGTAGCTGCTCCTCCACCCAACCTGCAAGCACAACCTTCCTGACCAGATGCCACCAGAGGTGTAGCTGAACTGGGCTCTAATTACCCATCAAGCTACCTGCACATTTCCTATTCAGTAGCTCAATGCAGCAACCAGCAGGCTAATTTTTGCTAAGACAACCACCAGGGACTAGACGGACTAGGCAGCTTCTCTGCTTCAGACAGATGTGTATTAACCCTGCACACAAGACCCAGGAGTTTAGAAATTACATGCCAGTTTCCACAGACAAGTGTTCTCTTCACATAAAAGTGTGTGTAACCTGAACCTTCTTACTCTTACCTGCTGTTCCAACTCTCCAAAGAAATACCAGTGGGAGTTGATGCACCACAGGCAACCCTGACATGAAATATAACCCCAGCTGGGGGCTCCTACTGCAGGAGATCAGGTAGTTGCTCTCACCTCGACATCCACATATTGAAATTGGCAGAGCCTAAATGACCCAAACAAAATTATCCTACAGTAACAGCCACACAGAAAACAATACCAGCTGAGATGCACAAGAAAGTAGCAGCTGGTTGGTTTATACCATCAGCCTTGAAGACAACCAGCACCACATTCTTATGCCTGAGTCTGAGCAGTCATACCCACATTGCTTTCTCTCCTCACATAGGGGCGAGTTTGCTTTTGGGTTTTGCTTGGAGGTTTTTTGGTTGGGCCTTTTTTTCTTCAGTGTTTTGGTGTTTAGGTTTTTCTGAGGGGCTTGCTGTTTGGTTGTTTATTTCAGTGTGAGGGTGTTGAGTTTTGTCTTAGAAGCCATGTATGTGACCTTCAACTTGCATCTTTACAAACGCAGACTGAGGGAGGAATGTGCTATTGCTCTGCTACCTAATGCCTTGCCTCCAGAGGAAAACCAGCTGCCTGATGCACACTTTGCAGGCAATCACATTCTACAGTACGTTTTAAGGGTGCAACAACTTCAACTACCCTTTGGAGAGTCCCTACAAATGCTGGCATGAAAGACCATGCAAGTTCAAACTGATCAGATCTCTCAGCCTGAGCAGCAGGGCTGGAGGGAGCAGAAAACAGAATGGATTGAAAAGCTGAGGATGCAGAAAGAATTAGTAAAATGAATAAAAAGGTTCAATTCCTCCACAGCACAGACGTCCTGGGATACATTTCCCTGCAAAATGAAGTTTAGAATTTGTCAATTTATCAAATCCAAGGCTATTGGAAAAAGATCCAGTTCTCTGGCAGAAATGTCATCTGTGTGTCCTCCCCACAACAAGATCCTGTTCTCTTTATCAAAAAGTGTTTGACAGAAAACATTTCTCCAGCCTCAGACAAGCAGAAACAGATTTAGTGGAACTGTCAGGATTACACATTATTTTGTTTCCAATGCAACTTCCTTAAAATAAAGATCCAAGGTTTTTCTCCTCTCAGTGAATCATTACACCAACGCAGCTCAGGCTGCCAGATCATGTGCCATGTGGCACAGTGGACCTTTCCATAGAAAAGTGCACTTATTTTAAACCACTAACAAGAAATCCAGCTGTTGCCATCCAAGTGACAGGATTCCTCAGGAGTCAGCTCTTGGGACTTCCTGCAGGATGAGCAGCACTCACACACATAGAAAGCCTAGTAAGCAGCACAGCTCTTTCCTGCCCACATGACCTAGGTAGCTCCTTCCCACTGCATGTACTGCAAAGGAGAAGGGCAGAGAACTCTGTAGGTTTTGCACCCACAGGTGCCTCTGCTGAAGCACTAACACGATTCTGGGCCTAACAAGAGTCTTTGTGTAATTCAGTGTGAAGGCTGTGCTGGTATTTTTCCCTGGTGAGAAAGGTGACTTGTTTTCTTGGCTCCCGGTTCTGCACAGATTACGTGGTTACAGGAGCTCTAGGTAAGAAACCCATTTCTTCACAACATTGCCAGAATCTCAGCATCACATGTTGCTTCTGGGCTGTCATTAAAACCAAAGATGAGAAGAACAACAACCACCAACAGTGTACACAAGAACCAGAAACTCCATCCTGAAACTCATATCAATCTCCTCCACAAAGGTGCTCAGCTCAGAAATCTGCTCAATCACACGTCCTGTTTGACTGAACTGCCATCTGCTTACTCTGAAGACTCCCACTAAGTGTAAGCAGGGTATCCTGCTCTGTGAGTTAACTCTCTTTTTAAAGGAAAAGAGAAAATCTTCACAGCAACACTCATCCCTACACACACTGTGACATGAAGTACTAAAAGCACAAAGTTGAACAGCAATGTTCACCTGACAAATTATGGTGACACCTTGATCCTCTAGCAAAGGCTATTTCATTACTCCTGTGCTACTGTCCTGAACACAACAGCTTTAAAAACACTTAACAGGTTTAAAAATATTTTTAATTTATGTGTAAAGCATCAGCTCTATAATACAAACCAGGCTTTTGGAAGTGAAAAAAAAGGATTAATGTTTTGAATCCTACTCAGCACCAGGTAATGCTGCAAAAAGCCAAACTCATGTAACAATGTACATGAGTTATAAAGGGCAGGACAGCAATCAGGTTTAGAAGCAGAAAATTGATCAAACATGTATCTTCAATTCTCTTTGCTCTAGATAGCAAAACGATTCACAGTAAAATCAAAAATTGAGCAAGAAAATTGGTAAACAGTGGTTTTCTCTTATAAGAGATAACCTACATCTAAAGTGAATCAAACTTTGCTCCTTAAGATAGAGCCGAGGATATCCCAGGAAGTATTATACAGCTAAGGACAATTTTGTAGCTTAATTGTACAATACATCTCCCAAGTTCTCATTAATCCATCTACATTTGAGAATTTACCAGTAGACAAAGTATAAATATTTCTGCTTTGACTGCAGTAAAGGCATTAACACTTCAAGGCAAGTTCGTATTATCTAAGGCACAACAGTTCTAATATCAAAAAACAAAAGGTCTTGGAAGTCTCTGATGTACATAACCATGCATACACACAAGTACACTGAGACTAAAACTAGCAATGCTCCCCCTCCAGTGAACCTCTAACAGAAATCCAACCAAGGCCACAGAACAGCTGTCCCCATGTCTCCTTTCCCATCTAACCAAGCCTGCCATCTAGTGTGCCATTGGCCAAGAGAGATGTTTTTTTCTTTTTATTGCTTTTGTATTCAAGTGAATCAAAAACTCTAATTACTAAGCAAAGCTCTGCTGTCATGTTTGCCTTTCTGATGTAGCACATCAAGTACATTATCACACCCAGCTCTTTTGTGCATTGAATTATGTTTACTAAGAGGTGAGACAAAAAACACACCCAAGTAGATGAACTCAACCTTTTCCAACTTAAGAATTTCTACAGTTTTCTGTATCCCCAGCTTACTACAACCAGCCTACTGAGCCCACTCCAGGCAAGCTTACTTCCTGGAGAACGTTCTCCAGCTTTTTTGCAAAGCCACTTAAAATACATTCTTGGTTAGTATCTTCTCCATATCTGTACTTATATTTGTTCAAAACATGTGGCTTAACCAAATCCATCTCCTAAAACTTACCACAACTACAGAGAGCAGCCCAACAATAAGTTAAAGATTCTGGAAATGGCTGAGGCTGTGCTGACCTTTTGGTTCAAGACATCCTGCTCCAGATTCAGGAGTGCATTCTTTCAAAAGACTTGTAAGGCTCCAGTTGGAAGCAACATGCCTGAAGACACTCAAGTCTACTACTAAATAATTTCAAATTCTAAACTTGGACTTGGCAAGTATGCTCATTTTTCAGCTGATACATAATCAATTTCCCCCAGATAGCAGTTAAGCCATTTGACTGTAAAATGTGTGCAGGCTACAAGCACATCTCACCAATGGGAGCAGAGAATGTAAGTGAAAACATCCTACTAGAGTTTCACAAAAAAACCCAGTAACTTTCCTGAAGGCTTAACAGGTGATGTGCACATCTTGTCCAGCTCCACTGAAGGACACAGAAATCCAAGACAAAGAGAGTCAACTGAAGGCATAGGGTTGTTTGGAGGTTTTTTCCTCTACTACTTTAAATTCAACTCTACTACACTTAGTCATTGCAAAGAACTTGCTGATAGTCTGTTTTTTGACACCGTCACATCTTACAAGTCTCACTAATAAATCTCACCTTGACAAAACCCATTTTAGGAAGAGCACCTAATGAGCATGTGTTAAGCAATTCAGAAAAGGCAGTCATTTCCAAGTAAAAACCATTGACATAACTGACTTCAAGAGGAAAAAGTTTATTCAACTATTGTCATATCAGAACAATAAAGCAGCTCTTACATGTAGCCACTTATCAAAAAGGACATTACAACACATTAACATAATGCAATAGATCAACTTTCCTTCAGGCATTTTCAAAGGACATTATCAGACCCACAGATTCTTTTGCTCTGGTGTGCAAAAACAAAGCTGGAAAGGAATAAAGCAAAGCAGCCAAACTTCCTATTTACCAACATACCTTTGCTGTTCAGAGCTTCTTGACAATCAGTGACACAAGCAGTATTTACGAGCTAAGATACAACCATTTCTGCAGTATTTGAGCCAGCAGCTACCAATTTTAGCTCCTATTGCACACATTTTCAAAACAGGAAGGCAGGGAAACAAGACAGGCCCAACTCTGCCCTCAAATGCTCAGAAAGAATTATCTGTACACAGACTTCACAGACCTTTGACCAGGTGAGTGTTGGAACTGCTGAGCAACTACAGAGCCCTCACTTACTGTGAAGCAAAATAAGCCTTCAAGCGTCCCTTACTTGATCTTAGCAGGTCAAACTCTCTGTCCAGCAGCTCCTCCTCTGTCATCTTGGAAAAATTGTCCTCTCCAAATGGGTTCCAGCCTGACATATCAGGTGGGTTATTGATGCTCTGCTTTGGGTAACTGGCAACTGCTTCAGCATCAGGAATACCTGACCTGTAAAGTCAGTTCATGGAATAGAAAGAATAAAAGGAAACATTACAGGATGTTTAGCAGGGTGACAATCTATGGCATAGTTCATTATGCCAAAATACCACATACAAGTAACACACATGCATGAACAGCTTATCTCAAAAGCATCTGAAAGCTAATTTAAAAGGAAAACAGATCACTTGGAATATGTTTGCATTGTTTCTGCATGGAATCCTTGGACTTTACTTTTTTCCATTGAGAACTGTAGCCAAAGAACAAAATCCTTCACCAAGGTAACATGCAAGGGCAAAAAAACTGTATTTCACCTGCAGGAATTTCTATATTGCCATAGGAAGCTGACTTTTTTCCTCAAAACAAAGCCTACTAAATATGGCTGAACTTTTCATTGGTTCTCTTTATTTCCAAACTGTTTTTTCCTGGCACATTAAGTGTCTTTCAATCTCAGTCAGTCCAACTCACATACTTAACTAGTTGCCATCACAGCTTCTGCTTCTAGGAGTCCTATCCACCCAAACAAGGAAACCTTTGACCAGATGCATATTTTTTTTCCTTTCCTGCAAGTTTTAGCAAACTACACCTCCCACTTCTGTTTGTCTGAAGCAGAGCAGAAAAGCAGCAGGGACCAGGTCCTGCTTGCTCAGGGGCTGCCATCCCACCATAGCCTTCACCTGAGAGAAGGACACCATGCCATGTAGTTAGTATGCTAAGGAAAAAGCAACTCCTCAACCCTTCCTTTAAGACAACAAGTCCTACTTTTTGTTGGCAACACCAACCTTAAATGTTACAAACCTGCAGACTTGAAGCTAAACAGCAGGATGATAATCTTCAGACAGACAGAAGAGAAACTGGAAATATATGCATTTCCTTGTAGACTGGAATGACTCCTTTCTGAAATTATCTGTGATCCAAGTCCTCTGGCAATAGATCTCACCAAATTACAGCTGATCAGTCTCAGCTCTGGGCACAAAAGGGCCAGAAAACACCCTCTGCTGGGGAATAGACTGGTGAGAGGGAGCCAAACTGGTCACAGTGATACATGACACACTATCAGTGCAGCTGACAGAAGAAAGTATTTGGCCTTTTATTGTTTCAACACACTCTGACATAGCAGAGTCTAATAGCAGCAGCACATGAACCATATCAGTCACACCAGTAACTGAAGGCCAGTGCCAAGACTGCACTAAAGGCTGCAGTATTCCCACAATTGCAAAGGACTTCTCTCTATATATCTAGAGAATATACATAAATATATAACATATATATATAGTTCATAACATCAGTGCAACTGGAAAAATCTGATTTTTTAAAAAAATTTTCAATCAGGAAAGGAAGAGGGTTTTTCTATTCCACATGCTGTTTTTATAAGGATTAATAGGAAAGTAATTATTTCTTGTACTTTGTTCAGCAAGGGTAAGTCTGCAGACCCCAGCAAAGGCACCATGTTGCTCATGAGGCATCCATCATTTAACATACTGAAGTCAGACCATTGATCAATAGACAGGAGAGGCAGAAGCCCTAGAGCAAGTAAACGCCAACTACACAGCCTCTCTCAAAACTCTGAGAGGACTTGTACAAGCCCATAGCCTCATTCAACCCAGGCTACTAACCATCCTAAGCAAAGTGGTTTGAGGTCAGCTCCTGGAATAAGGCCATGAAAAAGTGGAAGACAGGTTCATTAACAAGTTAATGCTCATCTGTTGACAAGTCCTGCTCTCCTCCCCAAATATCCTTTACCACTAAACAGCAGTTGAGCAACTGCTTTAAGAAGTAACCTACTGCTGAAGCAAGTATTTTCTGAGGAGAGGATTCAGCAGGGCCCATCACAATTAGGAATGTAAGCAGTAAGTGAACCTTGGGTACATGTGTCAGAATACTTGCCGGCTTGCAGGGTAGGAAGAATCTGCTACTGTTCCAGCATGCACTGGAAGTGACCCAGGGTAGGAGATTAAGGCTGGTGGGAAGTCTTGTGGAGAAGTGATATATTCAGGAGACTGTGCCTGTTGCGACCGCTGCTGCTGCTGCTGAGCAAGCATCTGCTGCTGGAGGAGAGCCTGATGGTACTGCTGCACCTAGGAAAGACAAAGATCATGTTCTGAAATTCAGATGGGCCAGGGTGAATCCCTGCTGCAAAGCAGTAACAGCTGCCTTGCAGCCAAATGCACTGACAACCACCACCTGCCAGAAACGCCCAGGAGCTTCAGCAAAGCAAGAAGCCAGACCTGTCCGTTACACTGGGGAAAAGAAACTCCCCTAACAGGTCAGTGACAGCCTTTTCCTCCTCCCACTTAAGCTTCTTGCAGTCTAGGTATATGCTACTGCAGCACCAAGAAGTTCATTTTCTTCATGCCCTACTCTTAAATATTAATAAACAAGATTTTATGAGAATTTCTCCTGACTTCTAAAAATCAGATTCTGCTAAGTAGCTTTCTTGCTTCTAAAGTAGGAGTTTGATGCCACATTCATTGTTGTGGTCACTACTGGAAACCTTAAGCATCCAGGAGGTTTCAAATTAGTATATACCTACTTAATGAAGTTTAGGATTTGTCCCATCCAATCACTACAGAAGTGCAACTCCAGATAGGCTCTTACAACCAAGTTTGGCTTAACTTCTCCTCAACTGAGTATCGTTTTTGTCCTGGCTTCACCCTGGCTCAAACCAGGACAGTTTTAAATGCTGAACTTCACACTATTTAGCACATCCATGGCTCATTACAACTTCTCACAAACTTTTCTTACTGCATCTTCACCGCAGACTGACAAACACAGCATGTATTTTAAGACTGTACCATCTATGCTTCATTCTTGACATACCATAGCAGGATACTGGGATTGGGAAGGTTGCTGCTGGTATACAGCCTGCATCAACAGCTGCTGCTGGATCATCTGCTGCTGCATTGCTTGTTGGTACTACAGTTGGAAGGAAAAAAATAGCTTTAAGTACTCACGATCCTCCCTTTAGGAATATCCAGACATTTAGAAACAGCACCAATTAAAATCCCATTTCTGTGATTCAACAACACTTTTCAGCTAAGATGTGACATAACCAAGAATCAGCTTGCAATTTGGTCTCTGCTTTTTAATTACTGTGTTTGGAAGCTTTTCCTTTTTGTTTTTCCCCCAATTAATACCAGCCTGCTTAACAAAAAATAGATTACATATTCAGCCCTGTCTTTTTTAAGGCAGACCAATTAATCTCAACTTTTACAATGTTCACCAGTGCTGAGCCCCTCTAGAAAATAATTCTGCTGTGTTTTAAAGAATAACATGTTTCAACATAGGAAAAAAGAGGAATAGCATTATTTGGTGGTTCTCTGCCCAGCTCTCCAGTCTGTCCAGGTCACACTGGAGGGCAGCACAGCCCTCTGGAGTGTCACCACCCCTCCCAGTTTGGTATCATCAGTGCATTTACTGAGGATACACTCTCTCCCCTCATCCAGGTCACTGATGAACATGTTGAACAAGAATGTACCAAGTACTGACCCCTGGGGGGCCACCTCTGGTTACAGGTGTCCAACTCAACCCTGCTCCTTTAGTTGCAACCCTCTGAGCTCTGTCACACTCCAGCTCTCAATCCACCTCACTGTCCACTGATCTATCCCACACTCCCTCAGTTTCCTAACAAGGATGTTTTGGCAGACAGTGTTTAAAGCCTTGCTGAAGTCAACTAGCACATGACTCGGTGGTTATTAGCAAGCATAACATGTCTCTTAGAAACATGTACCAGACTCAACTTGTACCTGCTGCATGTAGGTGTCCTGGCTGGCAGGCTGCTGCTGGTGGGGCTGCAGATGGTGCAGCTGCTGCAGCCTCCAGTCGCCCTGCTGCAGCTGCTGCAGTACCCTGTTCTGCTGCAGTACCCTGTTCTGCTGCGGGGGGTGCTGGCTGCTCCCTGCCGACTGCAGCACCTCTTGCCCGTTCCCTGCTCGCGTGGCTCCTGTGAGACCCAGACAACACTCTTTACTTAAGACCACCACGTGAAGCAGTTTAAAAACCTCCCTTCCCAGTCTGACGACTAGTACAGCGGGTAGTTCACAAACACCCCCGGGCCTGGCTATGCACAGTCTCTACTTACAAGACACAGGAAGCTTCCTTTGGTCTGACAACAGAGCAAGGGGGGTTCAAGACTTCTGCATTACTGACACCGAAGTTGGACCTTCTAGTGTCTCAAATCCTAACCCGCAAAGCATAACATTTTGTAAGCATCCCAAGTTTTATTATTTATTTATCCAGAGAACTATCAGCTCACTTGTCAAATTGCCTTCAGAAGAACATCTGATTAATTTTGTAATTCAATTGCTTTGGCAGCCTTTTAAGTAAGCAGTTATTAGCATAAATCGATCTCTCTTGCTGTATTTAGATTCTGAAGTGTCCAGGAAGGACCTGCTTCCTTGTGATAACAGAAAAAGCTTTCCAAGTTGGATGTTCTTTGGATCCTGTCTAGTAAAGCTGGGGCACTAACATTCTTGGTGGCCTTTTGATCGGAGGCTTTCCCAATAGCATCCCTGAAGCTGCTCTTCCTGATGGACACACAATGCCACAAAGTACAGCCAGGAAAGTATTCAAGTTGTAAATGAAAACTAAGCGAATATTTATCAGAGCCATAACTCTTTTTGAATTAAGACAAACTCACACAGGATTTAGTGAAAACCCATTTCACATGATTGAGTCTCCCTCGACTACTCCTCTCTGTTGCAACCAGTGCCATGTGAAAGGCATCAGTCACTCACTAAAGAAGTGACATTTTTACATGGTTCCAGCCTACAAATAATACCAACATTTTGTTGATATTGCACAGCATATTGAGGCAGAGGGAAAATATTTGTCCTACTAAAATGAAAGCAATTTGTTACAGAGCTCAGTACCTTCAATGATCTATTTGAAAGTCCAAATTGAGCCTATGATTCTCTCCTAGTCCACAACAGGAAAGTTCACCCAAATCAGTGTTAAGCACAATGAAGAAAATAACCTTTGCTTCTCAACAATTAGCATTTAACTTTTGTGACACTTGCTCAAAACTTATTACTTAGAAGCTTAAAAGTCTTTTGGAAAGGAGGAAGATTTGGGTTTTGGCTTATTGAAAAAAGCAGATTAATTTGAGTTTTACACATTACCCCTTCTAAAGCAACAAGGAAAAGAAATACAAAAATAATTCTCCATTTATTTTGGCCCATTCTCAGTCTTGGTTAAGTTACCTTTTTGTCCACGATTACCAAATTCCCCAGGAACTTGTACTTTGACTGGAGTTGCTGAGCTCTGGATTGTCAGCACCCCAGACACAGCAGTGCTTGAATTGGCCTTTGGTCTTTGTCGTGGTGCAATTGAGGTTTCTGTTGGTCCAACAGTGTCTGTTATTCTGAAATGGCAAGTTTTCCCTTAGAAGAGGCTTGATATAAAAAGATTGTTTCTTCTTCAGGTTAGACACATCTTCATAGCTCAATTATGTCTTAACCATGTGCTGCTCTACTTCTGAGTTGGATCTTACACCTTAAAACTTGCTTCCTAAAATTCCACTGACCACCCATTGCAGCCATAGGACCCATGAGTACTGCAGAACACCATCAGGAAGGAGCTACAGAACAGCCTCAGGCCCAAGGAGACTGTGGAACTAGGTGAAATTTCCCTGTATGAACTGTCTTCAGTTCACAGCAGTGAGTACAAGTTATATCCAGTGCTTGAGTCAGCAATCTTAGGGCTAGGGATGTGATTACTGCTCACGCAGACAGGAAACAAGGTTAAGACAACTCTTATCTGTTAAGCCAACTCATTTCTACTTTTTGTTAGATTTAGTCTCTAGCATAACTGCTCAAAATCCTTGCATATTTCTGTAAGTAACTAGTCAGAGCTTCAAAACAGTCCAGCAGGGCAATAATGTTCAAAACCAAAGTACTTTTGAGCTTGAATCCCATTATCAGATTATACACAATTTCCACAACTGTCCAATTGCTCAAAAACACTAATTCACAATCTGAGCTTCAGTATCTACCTTCTCATATTATTCTCTACCATATTATATCAAGACACCATCTGCCTTAACCTGCTGTCACTTTGGGCTGTCAGGAAAACATTTAGGAAGAAACATGATGGTTCCTACTATCATCAAGCAGATTTAGTTGAGGGCTAAAACACTATTCCATGGACACTCTATGCCTGTCTTCCACTGCCCTGCACCAACTGACAGCAGAGCCAGCAAAACCAACCACAGCCAGATCATGACATGACCTTAAAATGGCACAGACATCTACATATCTCCAACACAGCTTTTCATGAGCCCATTCATTTGCTTGGCATTCACAAAAGGCTGATGAAATCAAAGCTGAAATACATCTGACACAGCTGAATATTAAAGTTGGTAGATTGAAAATGCAAACAACTTCCATTAATAAGGAATAAAAGTATAAAGGATTCTTCCAACATTACCATTACACAAACAGCATATATGGTAACAAAAATAAAAAGCACCAATGGGGATTCCTGAGGTTTTGGTTTTATTATCAAGTACCAAAAAAAAAGTATTTTGAAATAAAAATCAGAAATTTGAAAAAACAAAACCCCTCTACCTTCAACCAGATTTAATTTCCACCTCACAATAAAACTCCTAAGGATAATATAGTACAGGTAACGTGTTTTTACCTGCCAGTAAAATACTTTATTTCAAAATTCACTCATCACAATAGGAGAAAATAAAGCAGATAAGAAACAGACTATTAGCACTTAATTATTCCACCACCTCTCCATTTCTCTCCATGGATTATCAATATATTCAAAAAAGCAATGCAGTAGAATCCAATATAAAGACTTGAAGCTCTTAGAATTGCAGTTTATCTATTCTAATGACCTCTGCTACTCAAATATTTTTTTCTTTATTAACAAGCACACGAAAACAGGTTTCAGACCAATATGTAGCTTAACAATATCAGCAAAAAATGTAAATCCATACCCACTGCTCACCTTGCTTTTATTTGGCTTTTTCTAGCAGCTGCCTCGCTAGCTGTCATGGGTTCAGGAAGAGCTGAAGGGACGGGAGAATTCTTGGGAAAAATAAATGTGAATAAATTTAAAAAAAAAAAAAAAGGCAACAAAAAAACCACCAGAAATCCTGAAAGAAAAAAACCATTACAAATTGAAGAGGAATACTTGGGTTTGTGGTTTTCGTGTTACAAGTCTTCATGCAGAACTCACATGGCTGTAGATTCAAGGTGTTTTAATTTAACAGTACCATTATGTTCTGTCCCAAAAGACAAACAAAAATACTACTGCTCTGTTTTGCCAGCTACTTGACTTCATGTACACACCATCAACGAGCAACAATAAATTAAGACATTTTCCCAAATGTTTTCTTGTAACTGCACAGAACAGAGTTATTTTGGCCTCAAGTTTCAGAACTACACCAAATCTTCACCTTTGGCTGAAACAACAGCAGTTTTTTTAGCTTTCTCAGCTCTTCCACTGCAGCACAAATTCCAGAAAATCCAAATAGTTACGGGTCTTTATGTTATTCACAACTCAGTCCAATTCCTGATGTAATTACATTTCACCAGAACCACATTCAACCAAGGAAGATGGCAATTCTGGGGGAGGGAGGTGGCAGTTTATCTCTTACTATGCATGCACCACCTCCTTACTTAAAGAACACGAACCTAAATCTGGTCACAAATAGTAAAGAGTCAATTATCAAATACAGCTTCTAAGGCCTAGTTCCAGTACTGGAACTAACCAAGAGTTCAGGAGAGAGACAGGCACACTCCTGATTTTCCTTTGCATAAGTAAGAGGGTGTCACAGACAATATGTTGTGCTCATCCAGCCTCTCTTCTAACCTGCAATGGTCATCCTGATGTTCTCACAAAACTTCAAGGGGTGTCCATGTGCACATGTTGGAGCTGCCTCTCATTTAAGGCAGCTGGGAGTGCTGGAGAGGCAAGCACCACCTAAAGAAAACAGCAGCAACCAGGGCAGAGACTGCTGGTCTTCTTGCTGTTCTAACACTTCAGTGGAAAAAACATACTCCCCAACAGCTTCACTTTGCAAGAAAACTCCAGGCACCTTTTCTTTTCTTGCCTATCACAGGGCAAAGGGCTAAGCTAGCAGGCAATTCTGATCTCCAGGGGAATAATAAAATACCTGAGAAGCAGACATTCTCAAGTCACCTGAGTGAGGTGATACTGCTCCTTTAATAAGCAATAAATTCCCTAATTATGGGATGTCTAAATATGCCCATATTTCAGGATAAAATATTCAAGGGAAAGGACAGTTATTGAACCTCCTACTCAGACACTGCAACAGCATAATGCAAAACCATCCAAACCACTTGAAATGTAGCCTGTACCTACCAACAGGAAGTACTTCAAGGTTTTCTGATTTTGATTTTAACCTGCATGACCAGAAAACACCACTCACATTTACTAAGCACCTTCTTCTACAAGGATCAATGATAAAGGAATTCAAAGGGATCCCATGAAGTTCACTCATCTGACTCTAAAGGCAGAGTTTACTGTAACTGACATTTGTTCCCCTATGAATTTTGAGATGGCTTTTTCCTGATGCCTATTTGAGAACCACTTTCTAATCCTGAACATCACTGATAAGCCCTCAAATTCCACTGCACAGTAATTGGATCTGTGAGTGAGATGATCTCTGAGAGAAAGGTCAGACTTTCTAAGTTCACACTCACGTGTAAAGTAGGGGTAGGGATGCAGGCTAACCAAGCCCCCATTCTGTTTGCCTGCCAGTTCACTGCAGTCCTTCCACTGGATTAACACAAGTGCTTAGAGTGATTGAGAAAAAGGGCTTATCCAGAAAAATTCTCCCACTGGCAACAAGTTCAAGTTCTGTAGCATATTTCTTATTAATTGCATTAGACACAACAGATAAGGATTGCTTAAAACCCAAAGTCAGGTATTAGTGCAGGCTCAACAGAACTCAGGAAGCTGTGCCCTCAAAACTGAAAAATAAGTTGTTTCAAGAGCTAATACTGAATGTACACAAGAACATGTGTGCAAGCAGCTTGAAGTTTTCTGCTCTGTGTTTTTCATCTAGGAACAAGGTTGATGAAGAAGACAATTTTTCTCAGCTGATCTGATCTATTTCTCTCTAGGCTACCTACAAAATGCACTAAATTGCAGAAAACATTAAATAAAGACTACTTACATGAATATTAGACACTGGACAATCCTTTTCGGCAAGTTTAAAGGCAAAGTAAGACACTTGAAAGATATCAGGTCTCTGTTCTTGGTCTGGTTCAAGCATATATCCTGCAAACATTGGTAAGACCAAATGATCACTGGTGAGACAGCAAGAGGAAACTCAGCAGCTCCACAAAATGAGCTTATCCCAGAAAGAGCCATTTTGATTACATTAACTTCAGAGAGAAGCAACATAAAACTAACCCACAGTACTAGAATTTTCTAGGGTTGATACCCTCAGGTTGTACACCATCAGTTGTCTTGCAGGTTTAGTGGCCTATGCACACGTTATGTTAAAAAGTATAGCTCCAAGGATAAAAGGACTTTTTCCTGACACGAGACAGAATTTCTGATGCCCCTCTCAAACATTAGCTTCCCAAATTAGAAGGCAGGGTGTTTTGCAAGCAAATAAAACTTAATTTACAATATGATACAGAGTACACAATTAAGAAGTCTTGCCTTAATGACCATTGAACCTAAATAAACAGTGAAAGATATCTTCTGAACAAACTAAGAGTATAATGTGTTTGGCTATGAAGAAAATGAATATTTAAGTTCTTCATGTTGAAGAGAAACTAAAGTTGTCTGTACTATTGACCCATTTTGGAAATGTAGCTCAAACAAGATTTTGTAATAAATCTTTAAGTATTTGTTTTTAAAAAGCTGTATCATTTTAGAGAGATCTTACAATTTTACTCAAAGCCATTGTTTCGTGGCCAACATAGTTCACAGCTAATTTTATTTTTGAATGTGTTTTACAAAATAAAGCAGACTTAAGCTTGCACTGACAGCACTATGAAATGGAAACAGAGGATTTAGCATGAAGTGACTCCTGCCACTTGCTAGCAGGAGTAGATAGTAGATACAATAGTAGATTGACAAGGTGGAGAATGTTCAGCTTGTCACTCCACATGCCTGGCCTTGTACAAGGGCTGAAATGAAGCCAGAAGTCCCTGAAATACCTTTTATGACCAACTGCAGCTTTTTTTGGCTTCCATCCCAAGCAGAAAGAAGGGTTTACATTATGAGAAGTTTTGCCACCCACATACCAGTAATACTTATCTTGGCACAGCAGTTCATTGAGTCTTCATAAATCAGAATTCATACTTATAAGGAGACTGGATTAAAACCTGTACTCTTCTAAAATTACCACTGTGACAGAGAAATGTATTTAATACCTGGAAAATCTACCTCATTTTGTCAGTTATTCAGCATTTTCAGAAGGTAAATGCTTATCGTGGTAACTGCTATTTCTCAATTATGAATGTGTGCTCAAAAAAGTGGTTTGGATTTGGCATTTCCTCTTATGTTAAAAGCATAAATTATGTGGTCAACACATTTATTACTTAGAAATTAATTACAAGAGCTCCTGTTCCACCCTTCTGAATTTTTCATACCCTGTCGCACTCTTTCAAGTTAACCTGCTCAAAGTGGAAAACAAAAACAACTGAAAATACTCATTATTACTATAAATACTAGGTCCTGTATCTCTATACTTGGATAACAGACTAATCGATAGCCTCTGAGCTTCTGGTTGTCCAAAATTTGCCTTCATACTCTTTGCACTGTTAGACTTTGGCCATCTGACACTTTGGGTGGCACAAACTTGATCAGATTTTTGTTCTGTTATAAACCAAGTCACTACTATAAAATTCCCCTCAGCACAACTTGTATCAGGTCATGTATGTTTCTAAACTAAACCTGCATTTCTAATTCATCTAAGCACAACTGCCCAACTTGGATAGAAAACCACTATTAATAGGCTGGCAATCCTCTCTAGTCTGGCACCCTGTGGCACAGTGGTCACTGAGCAAAGGTATAAGCAAGCCCCCTTGAAGGACAAGGGCAGGAGTTCCCAGACAGATGGTAGCCAGGAGTAACTCCCACTGTTCACTCCAGAACCCAGCCAGTCTGCACCACCCAGCCCAGCCACCTGCCCACACAGTAGTAGTGGGATCTTCTGTCTTTGCTATGATTTACAAGGCAAAATAATTGCTGTGTGGCCCAGGTACTTACTTATCAAACAGTGTATGCTATGGGAGTACCGGGAATTATCTGGAATGGTAAAGCTTCCACCACAAATAGCAACTTGACTTTCTCCAAAGGGAAGTGAAAAGAAACAAAGTTTATACAGCACACAGCCCAGTGCCTGTAAAAAAAAACAACAACACAGGCACTGTAAAGGGATGAGAGTCAGTCTTTTACACACAAAAGCAGCACTAACAAGACACAGACTGTGTCCTAGCTACAGATGATGCTTACACGGTAATGGAGAAGCTGCATTATGAAACACACTGTTGATGTGACAAGTTGATATATAAAGCAGCTCTAAAAAGGCTTCCCTTCCTACTGGCTCCTGTGTTAGACAACAAACTACCAAAGCCAGAGCATATCCCAAGAGCTGCATTCACAGCATCCTATCACCCAGAGATACCACTAGCATTTCTGCTGAATTTAGTCTTTATTTACTTCCCTGTACATCACCTAATAACACCTCTCTTTATCACTGCCAACAGGGTTCCAAGAGAAATCACTGCTGACTACCCAGCAGCAATCTGAGCTAGCAAACAGGAAAAAAATTCTAAATCACGTCCCCCTGAACTCAAAATATTCATCATCATTTTTGTTACAGAAGACATAACTACCAAAGATCCCTCTCCTATATTCCACATTGCATAGCTGCATGATAGGCTTCACTTTCAAAGAATGAGTTTTTCAGTTAAGCAGTGCTACTTTTTTAAGTCTCTGCCCACACCTCTTAATTCAGTACCTGGTTTCTTGCTTACCCAGATATCTGCCTTGGTAGTAATTGGTTTTCCTCCATAAAGATTGACCATTTCAGGAGCTCGGTATGACAGTGTGGTATACCTAGCAGTGTAGAATCAAGAAGACATGGATGAAACCTGTGCCTCAGAACTGAAAGCTTGTTTTCCTGCATCTGCTGTGCACACACCATTCACACTCAAGTTTCAGATCAACACTTGGAATTGTACCACACAAGGCAAGTCATTTATTGCATTAGCAGCATCGCAGAGAGAATTTAGAGGAATGTAAAAATCATCATACACAAGAATAAACAAACTCATGGCCTTTTCATGTTCTTTCCCCAGCACATGTAGGTTTTCAAGAGACACTCTGCTTAACTACTGCAGTCATTAGTAATTTGAAAGATGTAATGACAGGGGTCCTAGAAGAGTATTCCCTGTAGCAGATTTGAAGACACAGAATGTGGACTTCAAAAAAAAACAACCACTAGCTCCAAAAAAATTACTAAACTGGTAGTCAAAATATTTTTCAGAGCTGGAAAAAAAACCCTGTATCATTTTATAACTCGAGAGTAAGCAGCCTATATTTATTCCCCTGCAGCAGTTAGCCTGAAGGGGCAAACCAAACTAATACATGTTTTAAAGAGTGCACTTCTAATAAAAGTTAAATTTTTTTGATCAGTCTTCAGAAAATGAACACGAAGTTTTAGCAAGAGGACTCTATGTAAACCCCTTCCAATGCTATTTACATTGGTTCTTTTTCTCTCATATAACACAAATTTAAAATATCTAACTCCTAAAAAGGCCACTCGGCACACATACATTTTTGAACAATTTCATTTCAAACCAGCATGCTTTTTCCCCTTAACAGTTTTATTCTGAAGAGTTTCAGTTTTGCAAAAGCAATCTGTGAAGATGTTACCAAACAGTTCTCCTGTTTTACTAGATGTCAACATTAGCTCTAATTCAAACATCCATTTGAATTCATATTAATTAAAGCTTCCAAGCAGCACAATCATTATGATAGAAAGGCCACTTAGAAGTGAACTTACTTTTTAATTTCTTCTTCAACCACATTTACACCATCTTTTTGAGGATTAAGATACTTGTTAGTGGCACTGCCAAAATCACAGAGAACATAGTTCCCGCTATCGTTTAACAATACATTCTCCACCTTGAAAGGAAATCAACACACAGAAACATTAGATGAACACAGTGGCACCTTCATTTCCAAGTTAACTGCTATGACATATTCTCACACAAAATGGAAAACTTTTCAGGAAAAAAAAAATCAATTGACAGACTTGGCATTGGCAGTAAGCGATGTCTTATGGTTCACAGCTTCACCAACAGCAAGTGCTTCCCTACCTAGAAGTCAGTCTTAGTGACACGCCTTCTATGTCCTCAATCCTTTTTAAGTAGATAACTGATTTTTAACCTAGAGGTTCCTTTTTATTAAATTCATACCTTTAGATCCCGGTGAACTATAGGTGTTTTGCACTGATGCAACCGGGCAACAGCTTCACAGGTATCACAAAATATTCTCATTACTTCTGACTCAGTAAAGCCTGTCTGCAGTCGCTGATTCATCTGGTTCACAACTTGCCCAGCTAAAGAAACAACAAAGTATTTGTATTTTTCTTTTTTTTTTTCTTCTTTTTTTTTAGCAATTACTGTCACATACAGAAGGGAAGACGTATTTATATGCAAAAAGTCTACTAATAGATGCAAGAAATGTTTCCATAGTCCCTGTGGAAATTACAGTCTCAAATGAAAAAGGGTCCATATGACTGAAACCCGTTTGGGATGAGTTGTTGCAAAGAAACATCCATCACACAAAGATGTTACCTCAAAAGTGTCTCTTGTGTTTAGATTCACAGCCAAAACCCTGTCAGCCAACCACTTTCAATTTCATTCATATTCTAGTCACCCTCTCTCTTTGTCTTTCCGGGAGACAAATATCAAAACATTTTTTAAAAGAGGGAAAAAAAAAAAAAAAGCCCTCTGAATCTAGCCTTCAAGAAAGACCTCAGGTAACCACTTCATAAGATTCTTTCTAAGATCAGCAACCAGTTATTTCCCTGTTTCTTGAAATACTTTTACCAGACAATACTAGGCTCCCCCTACCACCAGGCTCACTGAGCACTAACAGATGAAGCAAGCCTCAGGATCTGCAGGGCCTTGATGAGCACTCTGTTGAAACAAGCATGTTTTGAAAAAGAAAAGCCTAACACTGTCAAGCTGATTGACAGTTGACATCCCCGTGGCTATTTACCAGCATAATTAAGGAAGAGTGCTACCAACAGGGAGTCAGAAGTGAGCTCCCACAAGGGTACACAAATTCACCCATGCTTACTTACCCACAGTTTGAGATAAACTTCAGAAGTTAAACCCAACAGCAAGTTTATTCCAACGCACGCGTGAGATGAGGGAAAAAATAATTTACACAGTACCTGTGTTTACATATTGCTTGAAACAAAGTTATATTCTAAAGCAGAACCCAAGTACTATTGGCTTTTTTGACCAGCACTATCAACGCTAACTTTGCTATGGTTATTTAGAACAAGTCACCTGTCAGGTAAGAGTAAAGCAGCTGTAATATTGTTATCTAAAACACAAATAGGGAAGAACAGCAGTGAAAAGCTTGCCCATCTTTCCTACTGAGTCATGTTCTAGCTACATGTTGATTGTTAGCACAAACACAATTTCACTTTATTCTCATACAAAATATTTTTCTGCTTCTACTCCAAGTTGTGTGAAACTGGCCTTTACGTTTTCTCAGTGTCCAACATCTCAGTGTCTCAACAGCAACAGCACAAACAGAAAAACAAAAAGAACCCTTTGGACTCCAGGTGTGGGAGATGTCTGTCGATCTTTGATATCAAGGGAACAATTCTAAGTAAATATCCCAGGTGATCCATATATTTTTTCTGCATGTACTCTAAGAACCTAAGAGTTGTTGCTTACCTCGACAGTACTCCATGAGAATGAGAACCTCCCAGACGTTGTCACTCACAGAGTTAACAGCACAATCCAAGTAGCTCACAATATTCTTGTGCCCAGATAACTCCTTCTGAAAAACATAATGTGCATGATTACACCTAGAAACATTTAAACAAGGAGAAGCTACTACAAGTGTTCAACCATTTATGATTCCAAATTAAGTAGCTCCTGTCCCACACCCACTGCTCTTGAGAAAGCACCACCAATACAGAAACCAAGTTCATTGCTGTCAGCAATGTCTGAGCTAACTACACAGACTGCTACACATCAAACACAACCCAAGTACTGCTCAGAAAAGTGCAATCATGTGCTACTTGTTGGACAGTGTTAACACATCCAAACTGCTGCATTCCAAAACAGCTCTGTGAAGTACCAACAGCCAGAGCCTTGGTATGTAGGGGATATGGAACAATTGAGCTACTTGTGCCCATCTTAAACTAACCTGAAAAACAGCCACTGTGACCCTTATTACAAAAGGTAGCTGGAAAAAAGTCACAACTACTGTAATCTGAACTATAACCAAGTTTTACAAAGTTATTACACACGAGCAACTGAAGGTGCCACCAAAGGAAAAAAATTAACTTGTAAGAAGTGTTTTACATGTGGAATTAAGAATGCTTACTTCACATCTGGCTATGCAAGTGCTGTCAGCTGTTGTCTACATGATAACTTAAGGTGCACATACAAGTACTTCTTGTATCAGATAAGTAAACAAGGTACTAATACAATTGACACACACATAAGCTAGAAGCATGTGGAAATAGAGTCTTCACAGTATCTTTTGTAAGGGAAGAACAGATTTTGTGGTTCCCAAGCAGTAACTAATTTTTTTTCCTATTTCTTTTTCTGAACCTGTCTATTAATTATAAACCCAGGTGTGACTGACTAAACCTTCTCGTTTCTCCTACTTATAAATGGGCATCTTACCATAATTGTAATTTCTCTCTTGCATATGTTGAGATCCTGCACATTATTAACATACATTCGCTTCAGTGCACAACGTGTCCCGCCATGGGTACGTACAAGAAACACAGTTGAGAAGCCACCTGGAAAACACAAAGACAAGACACATGAAGCTACTGGAGTTTTAGTTATTCCTCTAGCCAACATCACTCCACGCTAAGAAATTAATAAGGAAGTCAGTGTCAGTCACTGAGTGAGCATTAACGAACACTTTAAGATTTGCTGCCTCAATCCATTTCACACAGGTGACACCTTGACAAAAAAACATAAGGACTATACTATTTTGTTACAACATTTAACAAATTCTTTGAAAAGTACTCTCACATTCAAATAAATTTGTACGCATTCAGGTATCAACCTGAAGTACTTTCAGATTCATCCTGAAACCTGAAACAAACGAAGGTATTTTTCAGACCTTCACAGTTTCCAAAACCCTCAAGATAAGGAGGGGAAGGAGGGATGTGTGAATATAAAGGTTAAGATTATCTCTCCAAACCTACATTTTAAAACATTAAAATTAAAATTCTAAGAAAAGAGTCTTGAGAGATACCGTAGTAGTTATGAGAAGATACACAACTTTTCAGTACAGCCTAAAGACAAGTAGAACCTCCTTGCAACCACACACTGTGCAAAATTGTGTTTTTATTTAACACTGGACCAAATATGCAGTTAAGAATGAATATTTTTCCCACAACTAGAGCAATCAGCAGCATTCTTCATCCAGCACCAGCATGAACTGCAAGCCATACACTCAAGCTCAGCTCCCAGCTTCCCAGAATGAGGTTTTGCTTTTTCTATTCACAGGAAAAAAAGAATCAGGAAGACTAGAATTATACACAGACGCAAAGTGAAACAGCCTACACAGAAAGTACTTCCAAATGCTCAGGCAAACCACAGGCCAGCCAACTTCTGTTAGTCTTCACCACTGCTAAGGCCTCAAAAGCAGATCCCATGACCATCACACCCAGGTTCACAGAACAGCTTTCACACTGTTTTAGGGAAGCAGCCTCCTGTCAATCCATGCTCTCCTTCACTGACTGCTCTCTGATGGTAAACCAGCTTTTGACATGGGAACTTCCACTAGTGCAAACACTCAGGTATACAGTCAGTAAAGAAATATGTGAATTAAAATTATTAACAATGCTGATAATCAGGCAGCCAATCAAAACACACTCGTCTCATGGTTCCAGATATCATCTGCAAGCTGTGTTTATTAAGTAAAATACACACTTCATTTGATATAAGTGTCATACGCTTAAGCAAAAAGGCACAACCACTGACAACAAGAAGTTTCATTAGGACATTTTCTTGAAGGTTCAATATCTATTATTTTTTCCACTTACTTGCTCACAGCCAAATGAGATGCTATCCTGTCAAAACAGAATTACTGTCAACTTTAACACAACACCCTATGTTCTCCAAAATTATTAGACCTATCCTAGTTAACGTAGGGCCTTCCCCAAACATTAACAGGACACCTGCTCAAATTCTAATCCCAAATTCCAGCTAGGTCTGAAATTATCCCTATATAGCTTCTCTAATACCAGCCTGGGAAGTTATACTAAGAGCAAGATGCAGACCTCCATTACTGGAAGACTTTTTGTACTACCCTCTCAATAAAGAGACCTCTTTTTTGAGTACCAATACTTGACCAAAAATACTCAGGTAAAGCACAAATGCCTAATGATTAAAAAATAAAAATAAATATATCACTTATTGCCTTTTTATCCAGTTTTAGAGCCTTAAAATTCGCTGTGCCTAGCAGGAGAACAAAATGCCAGGTTTCGATTTTCCCTGACAATAGTTTTCACGTAACCAGAGCAGGCACGTCAGGGTAATAAAACAAGCAGCAGTGAGTAGTGAAAAAAAATCTAAATCCTCAGACAACTGGTCTTCTTGCCACGAGGTGGCAACATTAACGAACAGTTGAGCCCTGCAAGGGCCATTAAAAACAGAGCTATTTCTAAGTAGGTACCTGACCTTGAATGGTTGCCCATTAGCACGCGTCACCGCTACGGAAGTCCCTTCATCAAAGAGCTCAGTGGCATAACTGAGCAAAACTTGAATAAGTCTATTAATGTTTACAAGAAAATTAATAGTCACCAATGTCCCGGGAATCTTGATTCAGCAAAACTCTGAACCACTGAACTTCAAACTTTGTAAGTTGCTCCTGATGCCTTCTCACTGAGTGCACCAAAGCAAACAACAATCAGTGCTGTAACCATCCATGCAAACTCTTCTCAAACGTTACTATTGGGGCGAGGGGGGGAAGGAGGTGGGTACATAGACATTCTTGTGCAGAAACACAACTAGAAACCATGAGTAACTGCTTGCTAGAGACTCGGGATTGCAGGCTGACCAGATACACATCCGGTGTCTGTCAGCACAGGGGCTGGCATCTCACCAGCATTTTCAGAAGCTGAACATTTTTTCCCTTCTCTCATCTCACTGAAGACAGAAAACACAGTTTTCTCTAACACGACACATCCAAAAAACCTGTCGTAAGAGATGGCACACAAAAAGATGACAATGAAGCTCCACATGTTAAGTCACCATCATCTCTACAAACTCCCATTCCTGACCACCCATGGTAGTAATTCTGATTGCCTTCTTTAAGTCCCGACACAGTCAAGCCACAACTGCCCTGCAGCATCCACAACTACCCCCCCATCTTCACTTCGACAAAAGTGCCACAGTGGGGCCCCAAGACAGCTATGCAGGCCACTCATTCACTAGCACATGTTCTTCACCTACAGAGCAAAGAGCAATAGCTTTGCCAACTTGGAGGCTTTTCCATGCAAAAGCAACATCAGTTTGGGTGGTCTTATTTAGGACAGCACCAAGATTTATGGTACCTTTGTTTAAAAAAGGACAGAAAGGGCACAGTGACCAAGTGTCATAAACTAGAAAAGTGTGTGTGTGCTCAGGCTGTCAACAGATTTGGCAATACAATTTATGGACCTCACCCTCTCAGTCACTGCAGTATTGCAGTATAACAAGCCCTTTAGCTTACTGCTCCATAAATAATTTTATGTACCTTCTAAAAATTGCCACTAACACATTCAAGACAACACAGGGTCACTAGGCACAGAGCATAAAGGCACAATCCCATTCTCCTCCTTTATTCCACGAGAACCAGCTCCAATGTAAACTAAGAGGCCACAAAAAGAGTGACTCTGGAAACCCTCAGGATAGTAACACAGTCGGTGCTCCAGACCTATACTGGAGGCTGACCAGGTCTGAAGAGACTTGTACACAACGCAAGTAAAGTCTCATTTGCAGGATGACAGTAGCACAGCATTATCCAGCCCGGACTGGCCCACATTTTGCAGCATCCTACAGCCTTGCACAACTTCTCTCTTTTGCCCTTTCATTTCTCCACCCCATCCCATTGAAGGTGAGTGACCAAGTGGCTTTGTGGGGCTTAGTTGCTGCCTGGGGTTAAACCACAAAAGACTGGTAGGAGCCAAGTCTCTTACAGTCTTATTTCCATGGATCCCATCCCAGACTTACATAATCAAAAGTCACAGGGGACAGACACATTGTGCAAGTCCCTCTTCCTTCAAATACCTGCTAAAAAGCCTCTCTAAAGCATCTACAGTTCTGTGAGTCAGTAGATACTTTGCAGAACTATAACCCTGAAGCTTGGACAGATAAAATCATTACAAAGCTCAGCAAGTTGAAATTCACGCTTCTTTCTTACCTTGAATAGGCATTTCTCTCATCTTAACCATTCGCATTTGGGACCTTAGCTAACTAGCAATATTACAGTTGTGAGATTTGGGGGGGGGGGCTGGATTGGTTTGGTTTGATTTGTTTTAAAGTAAACTAAACATCAGCCACATTTTCTAGTCTTTTTTTTCCCTATGCATATTTAAGGTCGACCTTGAAAAATCTAATGGACCTCAATGTTTTATTTATGCTTTCCCATGTTACATTCTTGAAACTCCAAACAAGACACAGCGTAAGCTGTCAGAATTCAAAATATCCTATTTGCTTACTCAGGTAGAACAAGGCTGAAGAATCTTCCAGTTCCTTTACCACCTTTCAGACTGCTAACAACTGTTTTGTGCAGACAGATTGGAAGAATATCAACAAAGATACTCTGAAAGAAGTTACACTTAGTTTAGAGATACAGGCGGTAAGGGTTTTTTTAAGATACCATTAAAACATACCAAAGCACCAAGTATCTCTCTAACTGGTGAACTACTTGAGTGCATACTCAAATCTCAGACACAATGAGATCTTCATGAGAAGATTTCATCTGTACAGCAATATACAATAACCACTACCCACACCTGTAAAGACAGAAATGGCAGCTACTACAGTAGCTCAACAATCCAGCAAGATACACAAGCTTCCCATAAATGCATGAAAACCTGGTGGCAACACCTGTGCATCCTCCTTGCCCAGAAAGCACTGCCAGGCAGCTTTTCTGCTGAATAAAGGCAGCATTAAAGGCTACTCATCACACATACACACATTTACATTTGTATATATTTCTACATGTGCTCTTGGGTGTGCATACACGTGTATGCTTCAAGTAAAGCATCTTCCACAAGGCTCAGACACAGCTCCATCCAGAAGGGCAGTTGACAGATGTTGCCTGCAAGCTCAAGAGCTCAGCAGTCCCAAAACCAAGAGAGCAGAAATAGCTCCTTACTTCTAAAATGATCCATTTCTACACACACATTTTGAGTTCAGTATTTCTCCACTTCCTTTTACGTGTGCAGACAACGTGCTCCAAGGGACACTCCATTGCTCCTTGTCCCACTGCCCACACAAATTCCCACTGTGTAACATTCCGAGGATCAAGGCTGGTTTAGACAAGAAGCACTGCCTGCTTCAAACCAGCAGCTGCTCTTCAGGCAGCACCACCACCAATCCCACACCCAGAGGACGTTAGAGAACACCCCATGAAAGCAGGTCTGCTATGTACACCTCCATCTGCTCACTGCACCCTCAGCCCTGCCCTCAGCAGGCACTCTCACATCTTATTTCTCCTAGCACCAGCTGCAGCC